TCTGACTCCCAAGAGGGTTATCTGAGGCACATTCGAGTAGTCTGAAGTTTGAAATGAGTATTAAAGATAAAACAGCCCTTCTTACTCAAATAAATACCAAGTTTCATGTTACTACTCAGAAAGGAACTGCCAAGTAAAGCCTTCCCTACATATGAACATTCCCAGGATTTCTGGGAACACCCAGCTCAGGAAGCAGAGTGACATTAAGAGCACACTTACCCACAGGTACTGCAGGAACTTCAGCAGCCGGGGACAGTAATAATACTCCATTTTCAGAGCGCCAAGTTAACGCGAAGCCATCCCCGCTCCAGGCAGCCTCCCTGCTCTCCCCGCCTCCAGCACAACTTAAAAGCAGACTGGAGCAATTAAAAGCAACATGAATAATGTACCGTGTGTGTCTGTGGGCCCCACGTCACCGCGGGCTCGGCGCCTTTAACACACTCTGGGGCTACTCAGAAGCAGCCGCTGAGCCACCGGCAGCACGTGACTCACCCACTTATTATCGAGCATCTGAGCGCTCCCAGTGCTCCCATCCCCATAATCCGGAATGGGTTAGGCTAGAATTAGTGACAGGACTTTGGGTTTTGCAGTAAAAAGCCCTTCAGAAGGAAAGAGAATCTCTAAACCCCCTTGGTTTGCAGGGTTGGTTATGAAACGCTCTTAATGCCATCGGGGCCGCTCGCTGACCTTGTTTTTCGGTGATGTACAAGAAAAACCCACACGTGCAAGAAAAGCTCCTGTTTTTATGTTCCTTTAACATAAAAATGTCATTTGTGAACAAGAAGAAACAGACACAACAAAGTGGCTTTTTATACACCCCTGGAATGTTCCCAGCAAATGAAAACTGCCAAAAAAGGAAGAAAACCCAGGCGGGCGAGTTTTAACCACCTCCTCAGGCTGGGTTTACAAAAAGGAAATGGTGGAGTTGATGGACATCAGCTGTGGGTGGTTTGTGAAGAGCAGAAATGGGAACTGTAACACTGCTTTTTTTACCTATGTCCTTTTTTTGATGGGAAAAAGAAAGGTAAGTGCCAGGAGCCCATCACAGAGGGCCCCACTGCCTGTCCCCTCCCAGCACTCATGTCCCAGCTGCCTGTCCCCTCACAGCACTCCTCCAGCTCTCACCTTTCCCTGGGAGGGACAAGGTAGAGGTGACACAAAACAGATTCCAGGATGCTGCAGCCTGCTTTCCTTGAAATTTTGGTACTTTGAGAAAAATACTTCTCATTTTCTAATCACCACCTATAAGATCCTGCAGAGCTGACAAATTATGTTGATTTTCTTCCAGGCTCAGTTGGTTTTTGGGTAGCAACTCACACATGATGGGTTTCAGTACATCCCATTTCCACCTGGGAAGGGGCAAAGCTGCAATATTAGAGGCTATACAGAATGCAAAAAAGAGGTGGTTTGTTTTCAGTGGGCAGGAGACAGACTTGTCATGGGCAGAACTGGAAACAACTGGTGAACTGTGACAGCCAAACTATAAATTCATCTGCATATGTTTATAAAATATTTATCTTCTCTCGCTTGGAGTTAATTTCCAAAATATTTTAAGAGTCAGCTCATGACTTTCTTCAACAAACCCTCCACCACCCACACACACAGTCTTAAATAAATGCCTCTTTCTATGGAGACCAGTAGAGAGATTTTCCTCCCCAAAGGACAAAACCCCTCAAAGTTTAATGTAAAATAAATAAATAATATGAGGAGAGACTTCCAAATAATTCATGCCCACAACAGTTCTAGTAGCAGAGTGCTCTTTTCTAGCTCCCCAAAGCAGCAATTTTGGTTATAACCCACAGCTGCTCTAAAGCTGCTCTGTTTCCAGCTGAAGGTGTCCTCCCAGCACAACCACAGCTACTGTATTTGGAGGATGAGTCCCAGCACACATTCCTCAGGTTTTAGTTCCCAAGACTTCTATCAGCCTTGATGACTCAATCAGGAACTGAGGTTTGTGACTGAACGTCAGAAGGTTAAAGCCCTGTGTCAGCTGTGATGGGATCACTGCAGTTCAGGATATTCAATACTTGTTAACACCTCCTGAAATCCCAGGGCTTGTCCCTGACACTCTGCAGGGACAGAGCCTTCCTGGGCACCTCTGAGTGAGGAACAGCCCCATGTCCAACCACAGCTAAAAACCAGAGAGGGTTTGGATGCTGCAGGTGGTCACATCTATCCCTCCACCTGCATTCCAGCTCTAAAAGAAAAGACCTCCACAACAGCCTGGGGCTTCAAGCTGTGCAGGTGAGCTCTGCCTGCTACAGGGTCTGAGATGTGGAGTTGATTCAGTGAGATAAAACTCCCACTCTGTTTAGAGCAAACATGAAAACAACTTCATTTTTATATCTACACTGTGCTGCAGAAGGGCTAAAACGCAGAGAGACAAGTACCACCCATAGTGAAACCACAGATGATGACATGATGTAAGCCTAGCAGCGATACAGGAATTTTTGTAAAAGCATTACTCTGTTTTTTAACTCAAAGCAGCTAAGAAACGCAATTTAGATGAGTGTTAAATCTCAAGAGTATCATCCTTTGCAATTTGAAACACCAATCCCATATTGTCAAATATATTGCAATGGTTTGATTTCAAAGCTGTCCTTTGTAATGTTTTGAAAAACAACCTAATTACAGTAGAATCCCTGGAATATCATCATAAAGAAGTTACTTCTCCAGAGGTAAAATGATACTACTGCTCCTTGCTTCCATACGAAACCATGTTCATCCATAAGAACCTTGTTCATTAGCTGTCCTGGCAAATGTCATTCAAGCAGTTGTTTGTTATCATAAATACAGCAATTATGGGGCATAATGGGGAATAATGCAACAAATGGATATCCATGTAAACTGGATTTGTCAAATACCAAAGAATATCATTATCAGCTCATCACACTGCTTCAGTGGCGAATGTGAATCAAAGTGAATCATTCATTCTACAGTAACACTTGTCACTTTGAGCTCTCAGTCTTACTTGAACAAATATCAATATCCTGAGTGACCAAGAATATGCAGTGCAGAATACTTTTTGTTACTATGCCACAAGAAAAATAACTTCCCAGCTGCACAGACCAGACACCACTCAAACCAAACAGCAGCACTATGCCACGTTTCCATCTAATCCTCCTTTACAAGTGCACCAGAGGAAACAGAGATCGTGTTCAAATTCCAAGGAAATACGTGATTTAACTGTGACTCTGCCGTGGCTCATTCCTGACCCCTCGTGTTCTCTCACTTCCCATGCACTGCGATGTGTCTCTCCACCAGAGGGGAGTGTTGGAACGTGCTGCTGAAACAGCGACTCCACGCCCAAAGTCTGTATTTTCTCCAAACGCAAGGAAGGCATAACCTTTGTGCACAAGAAATGGTTTGGTTTTACATAATCTGCTGTGATATCTGTGTGGGGCTTAGGAAGACACGAGTGTGGTGAGTTTTCCACCTCCCAAACGCCGGTAAAAGCCCCTTCCATGCACCTTCTCGCTACACTTCACACGCAGGAGGACCAAGCTCACCTTTGGCTCCCAGGGCACTGCACACCAAACACACCCTGTGGGGCTTTCCAAAGCAACGCAGAGGAGTAAAGCACTCAGATCCTACTGAATTCCAGGGGATGCCACACAGGGAAGAATTTTCTATTTTCCTGGGGCTGAGTCTTCCTTTCCCACCTTCCTTTCCTGTCTCAGGCTACATTTGGTGAAGTTAAAGGATTATTCTGAGTAACCTCCCAATTAACAACCAAGTTGGAGAATAACAGTCATATTTATTCCAGTACAGCACCTGAACAGTTCAGTTATCCCAGCACTCCTTCTGACAGCACTTCTCTCCCACATATCCTACCTTGCCAACGACACCTTTACACATTTGCACCATAAGCTGATGGCATGTAACAACTTCTAGGGATTAAATGATAACTGCCAATTCTGTAAATAACCCAAACTCCTCCTGAGATGAAGCCCACGCTAAGAATGGAAAAGAGAAGGGGTCATCAGCCTTTGCATACTTTCCATGAAGTTTTAAGACTAGAACTGAAGAACAAAATGAGCCTGTTTCCAAAACCCCTATTAGGAGAGTTTTTTATAAAATCCTGATAGGTTTGGGTGTTTGCTTTTTCTCTACTAGAAAAGAGAACTCGATCCCTCTCCTTTTTTATCTTTTCATGTGCTCTCTGGTAAAGGGCTGCAAACAGAGTGAGTAATGACAGAATAGGGCCTCTGCAGAGGGCAGTGCAGCTCCTCACCACACAATATGCTGCCAGAGAGAGAGGACAGGGGAGGGTTGACCTTGGTACAGTCAGAGTGGCAACATCCTTCAGTCTCCCCTTTTCAAGTCCTTTATTTCCCTCATAAAATGTTGGTATTTCATTTTTTATGTAGCTTTTGGAACATCCAGACCTTTGTTTTGTTATTTCAGGACAACAGCTGGATGGAGGGTGCTATCTTCCAACACAGATTTATCTTTGGGCTAAAGTCAGGACATCCTTCTGAAACTGAGAGTATCAGCCAACAACGTAAGTGGGAATTCACCCCAAAAGTATGTGTATTAGAGACACATCAGACTACCCAAAATGTCAGCTGTGATCCTTCACAGAAACACTTCTCTGTGTGTTGCCTGCAGAAAGAAAATTAAACTCCTCCATTTCTCAGGCTCTGACACGGTTCTGTTTGTCTGCACAATTTTCCAGAAATAAAAATCTGAAATCAAGTCATTTTCAATATCTGAGAAACCAACAAAAAAAGCATAATGCTCTAGAGAGTTCTTAAGAGTTCAGGGTGAAAATTCCTCACTTAGGAAGCAAAATGAACAAGCTACATGGCTGATGTTTTGTGTGTGAAGGGTTGGCAGGGAGCAGTGGGATCCCAGGGAGGACCATCCTCTTGCCACTTCAACTCCCCAGCAAGTGCATCTCTGCTAGGCACACACACTTTCTGTCACAGGCCTTTGCAAGAAGGAAAACAGCTGCATCTCCCTCATCCCTCCCAAAAACCTCCTCCAAGATCACCTACCGTCCCGAAATCCACTCTTCTCTCCTTATAGAAACTGTGGCGGCTCCTCTGAGCAGACACTGAGGAAAAGTCTGTTCCCTCTGTTTTGTCTGAACTCTGCTTGGTCCATTCTTTCCTAGAAGCCTGTAAAATGCAGTTGTGAATGCTGTTAAATATATAGCCATGAACATCCTATGCTTTAACCATAGAATCATTAAGGTTGGAAAAGCTCATCATGTCCAACCTTTGGATTGCATTCACATGTCACTGTGATAAGGGAATCTCTTGCCTCTCACCAAAGTCACTATCAGCAGTGGAGTTCCACAGACAAAATATTTGCTTCATTCAGAAAAAGACAAAAAAAACAAAAACAAAGGGAGGTCCAAAAAGATCACTGCTGATAACTTATAAAATAAATGAAATAACTTCTTTTCAAGTAAATATAAAATTGGAGAGTTAACAATTTAACATCCCAGGTTCATAGCATTAATAATATAATAAACACATGTTTTAAAGCTTTTTTAAGCTTTCCATGGAAACATCAATAAATATTTATAGACTTACACCAAAAATCTGGTCATTTAATACAACACACATTGCTCAAGAAAACAGAACCCAAAAGGAAATGAACTCTAGTGAAAAGTATGAACCTGCTCCCTTGCTGCAGAGTCACAGCTGGTGCTGAAAAGTGGTACGAGACACAAGAAAGGCTTTAATAAATAAAGTTCAGTTTCAGTTACAGGAAACACTTCGATACCATTTGGAAATACCTTTTTGTCTTCATGGAAGAACAGTTCTGACGGAGCTGACACCTTGTGTTTCCACCCATGATCCACACTTTCCAGGGGGAAGCTCTGCCTGGACTGATGTAGATCCTTCCTTCCCCTCACTTCCTGCATCAGTGGCAGACTGTCTCTTCCTTGGTGGCATTTTTCTGAGTAGGATCGTCTCAAATCCGGGGGTGCCGTTCCAAAACCAGACGTGTAGCTCCTCCAATCAGTTCTAATCTTCACGCTGGAAGAGTCGCCCTCACACGTCGCCTTATTTGCGTTGTCTTTGCTCCTCACTGTGGAGCTCCTCACTACGTTTTTGCTCCAGTCACCCTCTGGAGACACCTCCAGGAACTGTTCTTTTGTCACCAACCTCTTCTGTAAAAGCCCATCATCTGCCTTTATGGACAACTTGGAAGCAAAACTGGCTTCCAGCCTCTGGTCTGTCCCCACTACGTTTACAGGCTGTACCTTCTCAATTACGAATTTTGGACTCTGATTCCTGGAGGTTAAATTCACTTCCTCGTCCTCATCAACGATGAAAGTTTTCTTCCTACTGAATTCCACAGGTGAATTTACAAACTTCTCTGAGAAGAAGATGCTGGGGTTTCCCCAGTAAGGAGGGCTGAACTTTCTGTCTTTGGACTTCGGCTTATCAAAGTCAGGGCTACGTAATTCCAGTTTCTCTTTGCTCTTTTCATTTAGAATTAGTTTCTCTGGCCTGTGCTGCTCTTCTACACACTCACCTGGTTTGTTATTAACAGAAGAGTGATCTGATCTACTCTTCCACTCGTTCCAGCTGTAGGAAAGACTCATCCTATCAGACACATTTCTTTTGTTCTTTGATTTCTCCCTACTCAATGAGCTGAGATCTTCAGAGAGCTTATCTTGAACTTTACTGGCCTTGGCTGACTCTTCTTTATATTCTGCCATAAGTGCATCAATATCGAGAATTTGGGATCTGTAACTATCCTCAGCCCTCCTGACAGGTAAATCAGGATTATTTTCACTCCTTTTCTGGGGGCCTGGTTCAGTGTCTTTACGTACCTGTGCTGAACATGGGGGTTCGTGGGAAGAGGAGACTTTCCTTCTGCTACTTTTGAGATCAATTTGAACTGTGTTTTCCAGGTTCTGTTTTAACAGGAAAGCATCAACATCTATAATTTTCTCTTTAGAATGATCCAGACCTTTTTCATGATGCTGTTGGTTATCCTTCCGAGACATATGAAAATTGCCAAATGCAACGTTTTTTGATAAAACAGCATCTTTATTGTCTTCCTTGACCCAATCCTTGCTAATATGTACTTCCCGGGTGTCCTCTCTACAAGTTGTACTCATCACATTTTTATTTGGTTGCTGCAATACAGGTTTGGACCTTCCTGGAAAAACAGGGTCCAGATTAATTGCTGCTCCCCCACTTGAACTGGAAACTGTATTAATTTCACTTGCACTGGGAGCACCAACAAAGCTTTTCTCTTTTTTGATACCAGGAATCTGATAAGTCACTGCAAAAAAAGTTGCCTTTGGCTCGAAGACAGAACTCTGATGTTTCAAGTAATCATCAGAACTGCCAAGAACAGCCTGGTTTGCCTCACTCCCTTCCAGCCCTTCTTTGATATTTTTGTTTCTCTTTTTAAGTGAATCCTCATCCAACTGCAATAAATCTGTCCGACTCAGCCTCTTGATATTTTCAGGAGTGAGCCGCACAACTTCTTCTGCCTTGGCCGACTCCTGAGGCAAGGTCCTCCTCCTCCACCTTTCAGAAATCTTTAAATCAGAAACACTACTTCTGCTTCTCCTGACTTTCTCTTCTGCATCTGTTACTCTGAGTTTTTCACTGTTTTCAGGAGCTGCACTAGCCAAGCTGAAGTCTCGCTCTTTGAAATTAAAGTCCAGACTTTTCCTTAACCCAAAGGCCCCGGATTCCTCTTTATTTATGGTTTGTACTTGTGCATTAGGATGGTGGCTAGTGGAAGGTTTAAAAAATTGTCCACCTGAAAGCCCTGAGGAAGAATGGGCCCCGTGTTTACTCACACTTGTTGAAACAACTTCACGATCCAGGTTAGTTCTGAATTCATAAATGTCTGTCCCACCTGCCCGAAAACTCCTTTTCTCAGAAGAGCATTTCACCACATTAGACTTCTCTGGTTTATCTATGGAAGAGACTTCACTCTTATCACTTCTAATTTCAGAATGCAGCTTGTTTACTTTCTCATTAATTCCCAAAACTTTACTTTTGTTTGTGGAATAAGGTATTTTCTCAGTTACTATTAACAGTGAATCAGGTTCTGTTTTATCAGAGTCCTTTTTCTGTTCAGGTAAAGTGCATTCACTGGAGAGAAAATCATTAGGTTCTCTCAACACAGCTTTGCTTGTAAGAACTTTTACCTCTCTAGCTTCTGAAACAACAGTATCTTCTTTCAAGTAGAGAGTGTGACTACTTGCCCTCACTGACTGCCCTGTGTGTCCAACATCCTCATCAGTTTTATTCTCTTTCACAGATGATTTTCTAGCTCTGAGTGTCATGGCCTTTTTCTCAGGAGCCATTGTGATGGCTTCACTAAGAGCCCTTTCCCCACACGTCTGAAAGACTTCATACCTGGGCTCTATTCGTTGGTAAATTACAGACTCTTCTGCATTTTTAGCAGTGGGTTTTTCACTTTTCTCAACCAAAGATTTTTCTAAGAGAATCATTTTCTTGTCTTCACTTGAACAAGCTGGTTTGCCACTTTTCTCTACATCTGCTGTGTGTTTGGATGAATCAGATGGCTTGTAATGCTCCTTCTTTGCAGTGGTAGTTTCCTCCCCTTCCCCCATCCACGATCGTCTGCTGGGCCCCAAAACCACCACGTCTTGCTTTGCCTCAGGCTCCTGGTTCCTTTTCAGAGCAGCATCAGCCCCAGAGTGCTCAACAGCAACGCTGTGTCTCTGCACATTGTGCTCAAACATGGTGGCTCGGACAGTTTTAATGAAGGGCTTTTCCAGAAGTGCTGGGTTTAATTTTTTTTCAAAACTGCTTGTGAACAAGACAGAACTTTCACTTTGCTGAGAGAAATGCTGAGCATCCCCAAGGAAGCTTCCTTTCCTCTCTAGCTGATCAGGTGTATTGGTTATCTTTGAAATGTGCCGGGATTTCCAAGGCCTCCCAGGAACATGTGCTTCTGTGAAATCTGTGCCTTGTGCAACCTTCAGCTCCTTACTCTGGAATGAGAAAATCCAACAGTTAAGAGAGTTTATTCAAAGATGTGCAATAAAGTTTATTGTAAAACTTACTTGCACCTAGTCTGTGCAACACAGGGAATCAAAGAATACTGGAGGTCTTAAAAGAGTTCAATGTCCTTTTCAAGTTTTAAATTTAAAACTTGGAGTTGACTCCAGATTCTCTTAAAAAAAGCTGAAGAATGTCAGAAAATTAACACTGAAGACATTTATAAAGATTTCTAAGTCTGACCTATATTATTCTAGGAATTCAGGGGAATTTTTTTAGTCCTACTTTCTTGTCTTCCATTAATGAAAGATTTCCTTTTAAAAAAAAAATTGCTCTTCTTGAAAATAACACTAAGCTACAGAAACTTTGCACCTGTAGCTCATAGTTTCCTTACCATATATTCTATCTTAGACAGGAAAAAAGCACAGTCACGAGAACTCACAACAAAACAATCTTAAACTACTTTAAATCTCCTCTGCTAAGAAGTGTCAGCAGAGAAGTTCTGTTTTGAAACACCGAGGTGTTGCTTAGAAACAAAGAGAGCCTAAAGCTTCCACAGCAAATCATCACTTTCCCTGGAACACTCTATTGTCTAAACTGCTCAAGTTGTTGTTGTTGTTGAGGAGACTGACACGCAAGGTCCAGGCCGTGATTAATCAGGAGCTGTGACTTGGATGTAGGAATGCCCAATCCTAATGCTCTGCTTGGAGAAAATAAAGAAAAATCACAGCACAAACCCACCACAGCCACAGGTGATTCACTGCGTGGTTTCACGTGTTAGAATTCTTTAAGAATAGTACATAAAATCCTTCTCCCTCCATACCAATCATACATTTAGCAGTGTGCACAATGAACTTTACCAGCTCAACAAACATGATGCTCCTGTACTTTATTGGTGTGTCCTAAAGACAGACTCACATCAGTAAACCCACTGGGACTGTGTCAGCAATAAAACTCTCAATACCCATTTAAAAGTCACACAGAACAGGACAGCACTCACTGCCCTCCCAGTGCAATCCCAGCTGGAGCCCAGTCGCTGTGCCACTTCCTTACTTTTGGATTTTCCTGCATTTCATGGATAGGGTCAGTTCTGGCTTCAGCAGGTTTCTCAGGCTTTGCTTCACTGCTCGATGTTGGACTTGAAAACCTAAAGCAAAAAACAGGTATTACTTCTTTAGTCCAGTTACTCAGTGAGCAGCTTCACTGCTCACCAAAGCAGACTGGTAGAAATTCTCCAACAAATTTAATTTCTTAAAGGAGAAACATCACTGTTTCATAAAAAGTTACTGTATTTGCTGGTTTAATTGTATCTAGACCAAAGGATTGTTGCTTCCCAAAAAGCTGTTAGTTATGCAGCCTATGTTATAGTAGAAAATTCAGAGATACATAATGAACTATAGCACCTCTTGCTGACAAGGTGGTGATCAGTCAAGGGTTGGATTTGATAATCTTGGAGGTCTTTTCCAACCTCAGTGATTCTGTGAAAAGAGATGTTAATCTCATGCCTCAGTTAAATTTATTTATTTTGATCCCAACAGTGAAATCAGGCTCCTGCCTGCCTGAAATCCTGACTCCCCATACCAATGTCAGGAGGACCATTCTTTTGCCTTCTTCCCAGTCCATGAGCTGGCAGTCCACAGGCTCACCTCAAGATTGTAAAATACAGGAAATGTTAATCATGGATCTACAGTTACAGCTGCATGCAAAGGCCACAGTATCAGCAGATTTATTTATTTCTTTTAGTAGTCAGAGCATACTTCATTAATTTTTCTCTCTTTTCGGGTACGAAAAGGCAGGAAAGGGGCTCAAGAATAACAGCAGAAAGAACTACATTCAGTGGAAGCCAAATGATCAGTTATTTTACTGGACTTGAGAGAGCAAGTTTTACCGAACGACACGAAGTTAAGAGGATTAAACAGAACTTCTCTGCAACTTACAGCTTTGTGAGGTCCGCGGAGAGCGGCCGTGACTGCGGTGACCTGCGCGGGTTCCCCGCCTTAACGTCAGTGTTTTCTGCTGTCAGCTCCTTGATTCTCTGCTGGATGGTCACACACCTGTTCTCCTTCTCAGCACTCGCTGGGAGAAGCTCCGTATCCACTGCAGGACTGGGATTTTCTGAAGTAAACAAACTGATGTGTTTTTTGACACTTCCTCTTAAGATATTATTCTCTTTTTCCGAGGAAGCTGCAGGGCTTTCACAGCCTAGAAACGTGTATGTTTCCTTCTGATCTGCCCTTTTCACCCCCTTATTAGTTTTGCTTTCGCTGGTTGTTTCAGGGCTCCTTTCAGAACTGTGCAAGTTAGTAGTTGTTTCTGGGTTTGTCTCAATTTGTTCACTTTTAGATTTAAGTTTTGTTTCCCACATGTATTTCCCATTGTTTAGAATGCCAACGTCCTGACTACTGCATTTCAAATTTGTTTTAGAAGAACTGCTTTTATTAAATTCAGTTTCTTCCGATTTTGGCCCCATTTCAGACTGATCATGACAACCCACATCAGTAAAAGTAATTATGGATACGTTTTCCTTGCTTTCATGGGATGAACAAGTCTTCTTGCAAGAAGAAAGATCTTTATGTTCAAACTTGGCTGTCAGGTCCATGGACAAAGGCCTTGGTTTTCTAACCCCAGATTTCTCCGGGGGAGATTTTTCCTCAGAAGCTTCCGCAGTGTGATGCTTTTGATCTCGTAAGGATTCCAGAAAAATAGCAGACACTGGTCTATGTTTTGCCCTTTGCTGGACATCAATAGACAAATCAACTTTATTGTTGAGATTATTTGCATCATCGCTGTTTTTCTCCCCTGGGTGAACTTCACGGGCATCTTTTTTTTCCCCAGTTTTGAGGGAGTTCCAAGAGACAGGTCTGAGACTGGAGGAAAACGACATCTGCCTATGGATAGATCCTTCAGGGTTCCTGGATGCCTCGGATGGTTTCTCCAGCTTCACACTGCACTGAAGGTCCTTTGTCTGCAGAGCAGCAAATCCTCTGCGGTCCTGAGCCCTCTTCTCCTGGGCCAGGCTGACCTTGGCCTGCTCTGGCCCCGCTGGCTCAAACAGAATGACCGTGTTGGCACTGGGCCCAGTGTAGAAAGTCATGTTTGTGACCACGTCACTGTCAGCCTGATTTTCAGTTTCAATCACCTTCTGATCTACTAACGGAGGAACATTCCCACTGAACACCTTCACAGACGACGTCTCCTCAGTGGCCTTTCTGATCCGACTGCTGGATCTGAAAGCTGGGACAGGGGGTTTAACATTTCCAAAAGCCTCTGGAGGCTTCTCTTTAGAAAAGGGCTTTGGGAAAAGTCTCGGCCTCGATCCCAGCGACGGCATCGTTGCGGATCTCAAGGAACTCCCAAACTTCTTGTTCTCTTCGAGAGTCAGGGATGCAGAAGCCTCCTTGGCCTTGTTGCTCGCGTCCGAAAGCACGCTGACATACACACGCTGCGCCTTGTCCTCGCTCCGGAGCTCAGTCAGGTCAGGGACCGCCGTCAAAGACGCCAAAGGAGAACTTATTTCTACTCTCGTTGCCATAGCTGGGATTACACATCCAACAGAACTGAAAAACTCCAACAAGGAAAAAGAATCTGCAAAAAAAAAAAAAAGGAAAAATGCAAGTATTGATGCAGAGTCAGCATGAAGATCAAATATCATCATTCTCATTTAAATTCAAGAGGAAGCAAACTCATATCAAGGTGCCTTTCAGAGATGCTGTTTCTAGAGTGTATCACGCTGAAAGACATAGTGTTCCTTTTCCTTTAAAAAACAGCAAGAAACACCATTATTCACTGATTTGGCCCAACAACCAAATGCATCACAAATCCTGCAAGAGCCTCTGCACAGCACTGAGTCCCATTGGTGGAGTACATTTTAAATGCCGAGACACTTAGAAATGAATGAATTCATTTATTTTTTTGAAGCAGAGGTCTCAAAAGAACTTGTGGACTCCCCATCCCTGAAAGTGTTTAAGGACATGTTGGATGGAGCTTTGAGCAACCTGGAAGGTGTCCCTGCTCATGGCAGGATTTGAACAGTATGAGCTTTAAGGTTCCTTCCAGCCCAAATCATTCCAAGATTCCACACTGATGTACAAATGTCAACTCTTCTTTACAACAGAAGCAGCTGGCCAGGTGCATTGAGTGTATACTTTCAAACTGCCAAAAATATCAGGATTAGTGTGACTGAAGGTGTTATTTGTTATCTAATAGCCAAGGCCCAGAACTAAACAATGCAAATAAACATAATCCTACAAATCCCCACTCTCCCACTTACCATAATTTGCATTTGCTGCTGCAACCAACCCATGGAGCCCGAATCCCTTCTCATAGTGACAAGAGTTCTGTCACATTAAGGACAGGAAAGGCAATCACTGCAGAGACACTGCCCAGACCTCACCTGCAAATAAACAGAGTTCAGGGTGTGGCACATACCCAGACCTATACAGGTAATGCCACGGAGACAAAAATCCAGAGCATTTTAAAGAAAAAAAAGCTGGTTCCCAAGCATAAAGTCACCTGATGGAACTGTATAAAGCAGAAAAATGTTTATTTTTCAAACAGTTATTAAAGAACCAACAAGAAAATACCACTAAAATGTGTAACAGAAAGGTGAAGGGACAATAACTCAGGCTGCACAGCAGACATGCTAAATGTGAACACAGTTAAAACCACATTTCAGAGAGACTGCTTGCAAATCCAAGTGCTGTCAATCACTGGTTAAAACAGAGCTCTGCATTACTATAATCTCAATTACTGTAATTTACTTTCTATTGCAAAGCTCCTTTCTGGGACAGCAGTCTGTGAGGTGCTACCTGAGCAGCTGACCTGCAAACGGCTGATTTTCCATCAAAATGGGACTTTTACCATGACAAAGCAATTTTCTCCAATATCTCGCCAGCAAACACAGGAGAAGAGCTTTGGCTCTAATTAAATTCTTACTGCAGAGTTGAGGGAAAACCTGAAGTAATTAGAATTTCAGCTACAAGAAGTAACCTGAATTTTCCTAATGAAAAATATATTTAAATTTGTAGCAGCTGCAGGTGGCTAGGTAAGGTTAGATGATTTTTTTCCTTTAAAAGATGTCATACTCTTCATTTTTAGGAAATTTATGCAGTGTTTTGTAGGCAGGGGCTCAATTTTAGGTTGCTACCCTTTTGTCTCTTTTGGGTAGCCTTTGCAAGGGCACTTTAGGACACTTCTCACCAGCCCTATTTTGGTGTGAATTTACCATATAAATATACTTATTTGTAGATTCTGCATGGAGCTCCCTCTGTGTGATTATTAAAGACCCCAACCAGGATCTTGCCTTCCTGGGTCTGCAGTCTGCAGAAATGGTTATTTCACCTTCAGCTTCCCTTGACCAGACTTAGCCCACACTGGCACTGAAATGCAGGGATTTATTTTTGTCCCTGTTTGTGCTCCCTCTCTCAGGCAGGCAAATGAACTCTGCTCACCTTGCCCGTTCCCTTTCATCTTCCAATCCACTTGGAGTTCTGTCTCAACCACTTATCCCCGATGCCATCCCTGACCTCGCCATTCTGAAATAGCCACTAACCCAAGCAGCTTATCCACATCAATCTGTCCCTTCCACAGTCTCACAGATCTTCATGGAATCTTCCTCCCTCTCCCACTCCTTATTCTAAGAAATGCCACCAAAATCCGATTAAAATGCTCTCGCATTCCAAGGATGCAAAGGTTTGGGAGGTGCTCTGAAGGGAGGGCAGTGCTCACAGGCAATACTGCAAAGGGAAAAATCCAGCTGTAGAAACAGCATCTGTCTTGCAGTACCTGAGAATAAGTTCCCTCCTATCATTCTGTAGTTCATTTTCTTTGGAATAGAAGAAGGGAGCACAGAGCTTCTTAAATGGACTAAAACTTGATCCTCAACGGAACGCGGGGCAGTGAATATACAATGAGAGAACTAATCCTGGCTAACAGTGTGCAACACTTCTCCAGCCAACATTCCTAACCCACAATTTACCCCTTCCTAAGTTTCATCACACTCCAACTTTACAGGACCTCATTTTTCCCGACATAATCTACTGAAGTCAGTTGCCAGGTTTTAAATTCAGATACCCTGTAACAGATACAGGGCCCAAAGCAGACAAGTATTTGAAAAAGAACAAAATATTTGGGGGAAAAAAAAATAATCACTCAACTTTGAAAACTAAAAGGCTCCTGTGATTCAAAAAGTACATTTGATAAAGAGGAATCATATTATCAATGCCACATATAATATACACTGACACATCGTGTCTTGCTTTTGAAGCATCTCAGTTTAGACAAACCTACTTCTCTCTAATAAAATATCTCTAGTTAAGCTGGCAATGTACAAAATTTTGGGCAATTTAAAAAGATCAACCGTACACTTAATTGCAGGAGGATTTCAGATGCTATTAATATTTAGTAATACTACTGTAATCGTACTACTACAGTTGTAAATCCCTCATCGTCAGCTACAACCTGTTGTTCCCTTCCCTGACCTCCTCTGCCCAGGGACAGTGGGCCAAGCTGCCCCTGCTGCCATGTCCTGCTGCCCCTCTGTCCCCTGCTTGTCCCCATCCCGTGTGCCAGAGCCCCCAAACCCCCTTGTCCCAGGTTCTGGGCACTGTTTCTCTTTGTGCTGCCCAAGCTGTGCCCTCGCTCCCCTCAGCTGTGCTGGGGCATGTTCTGTGCACACAAATCAAATTATAAATGGCACTGAAATTCTTTCTGAAATACTTCCTGTTTTAAAAGAAACTCTGGCACATCAAGGCATGGCTCTTCTCTGCTGCTCCTCTTCCTCAGCTTCCAAACACCTGCAACTGGGATTTTTCCTGGGCCAAGCTGAGCCTCCACAGGGTTTTATAGAGATGCATAGTCAAATACTGCTCCAGGCTCCTCCAAGCCTTCAAACCTTAATGCCCTGAGGTGTTGTTTGTATTTTTAATTAAAAGATCTATCATTACAAAGGATATTAACATTCTTAATTAGAAATCAAAATGGATTATTCACTTCACAGGGTTATTTTTGTAAAAAATCACACGGGAAGGGCTTTACTCAAAACACACCCTTGTTGCTGGCACTTGCCCACCCTCCACACACAACTATTATTTACATCACTTCTAATTCCTTTAAGCCTATTAAGGCAACAGCAGAAGCCTGCAGATAATTTTTCCACCGTGAATCACGTGATTATTGGCAACTTCCTTGCTCATAAATAAGAACGTTTTAAATGACACAAAGCAAAATCATCTATAATCTGCCCCTGAACCTCACAGCAGATAAACAAGTCCATCTGTCTTCTCTAAGGATGGAAAGCATAAAAATTGCACAGAGAAAATCTCTCTGCTATTAAAAAAACCGAAACACACAAAAACCAAAAAAAAACCCCATCAAAAATCCAGTTTATTACATGGAAACCATGCAGAAAGCCTGGCTCCAGCAGTGAATATCCATGGTTGTTTGCACTAAGACTACTCCATAGAAAATTACCAAACACAAAGTTTTTCTTCTTTAGACACAACTTTATCAGCAAATCTGCTTCCACTGTACAAAACTTGCTCCCTTTATTGTGTAAATACAGGAAGAGATTTGTATAACTACAGCTATTAACAGCTCCTGAAAAAAGAGTTTTGCCCATGACTATGGTTGGGAGGTTGAAACTGGGTGGTCTGTCATGTTCCTTCCAACTCAAACTACTCTGCAATTCCAGGATTCTTCCATATTCCCCTGCCCTACAGGTTTTCCCTGGCATGAGCCACAGGAGCTACTGGGAACAGATGACCATAAACCAAGGTTTATTTCATCCCTCCTACAAAAGGGATGCCCCGCTGTTGTAAATGATTCAGTCTTTAAAAGCTGTTTCCTTCTCTCTTTTCTCCTTCCTGTCCTCACTGCCCATACCCTCGGATCAGTCCACAGCAGTCCCTGTCAGTTCTCCAAAGCAATCCTCCTGCTGCTGGTTCCTACACTTGGAGAGATGCTGATGGGATCTGCTCTGCTAATTCTTATTTAATCCAATCACTTACTGGGCACGTAGGAAGAACAGAATAACTTGACCACGAGTGTGAGCACTGACAAGAGCATGACTTACTACAGCACAGTCAAAATAAAACACGGGGGGGAAAGCCTTTTCTGAAACTTTTATAACCAAGTAGATCATGTAAGTAATTCAGTAAAAAACAGGCCTTTTCTATTCTTGGGCTTAAGCCTGATTCACATTATTATTCACTGCAATGGGATCCATCAGTTGTATTTAAGAGGACATTCAAGGTCTCTCAAAGAGAAAGATTAACAAGAATACTGTCATACTGGCTCTAATTCTTAAAAATATCCCCAGAAAAATTCATTCACAAAGTAAAACCAAAATGCATTCAAGTTATCTTTTCCCAGATTCACAGTAAGAAACTCAGTTTCACTTCTAAATAATCAAAGCCTGAAGGTTGAGAACTAAAACTACCTATCCCAAATCTTGCAAGCCAGATATAACCTGCAAAGCCCCATAGACCATTAATATTAAAATTCCAAAGCACTGCAAAATTTAAAACCTCCTTTCTCCATTCCCCATGTGCAGGTCTCTTGGAAGCCTCTAGTGCTTTTGTTTTAAAAAAAAAAGACACTGTTCTTTTGGACATTACAGTCCAATCCCAGCCCAGGGATGAAATTCTCCACTCTGACATTTCCTCCCACTGAGAAAAGATTAGTTTGGTTAAATGAAGTGCCCATCCTATAAATAGCAGCATTTACAAGCACTTGTAAACCTCTAATTGCTCCTGCCAGTACAATTGCATAACAATCATCATCACCTGCCAGAGCTTCACCCAGATCCAGCCGCACTGAAGAACCAAAATATTTTCAACAAGGCTTTCCATTAAGTGCTGCCATCTCAGTACCAGGGTGAGAACTTTACACCTTGTATTTTAATCTGCACGCTGCAAAGGTCAAGCAGTTAAAAAGGGTAACAAATTATAGAGCTGCAGCTTCAGTAATTCAAACTGGCCCCACAGGGGCCACAACATTTGCTTATTAAAGCAAAAATTCAGTATTAAAAACACTGGCTTGTCCATGTAATGGTCAACATGAATCTAAGCACATTCCTGATGCAGGAGGACAATGAGCTGAGATGGAAAAACACTGTGAGGGTGATGAGGCACCACCACAGGTTGCCCAGAGAAGCTGTGGCTGCCCCATCCCTGGAAGTGTCCAAGGCCAGACTGGATGGGGCTTGGAGCAACCTGGTCTAGTGGAAGGTGTCCCTGCCCATGGCAGGGGGTGGAATGGGATAGCCTTTAAGGTCCCTCTCAACCCAAACCTGTCTGGGATTCTATGATTAATTTAAGATAAAACATAATTTAACAGCAAAATGCAACTGTGTGTAATCGAGACAAAACACACCATGACGGCTGCGGGGCA